TTACATTCCCGGCAAAAAATAAATTTATACAGCTCTACAATATTTTTATCCGTTTAATAATTATGACAAATTATTACAGCTGAATATTGTCTCAATGTGTTTTAAGCAAAAATATAGCAATTTCGAAGGAACGATCGAGTAGTGTTCTTATTTGCTGAGATTTTTAGATCGTCGGATAAGCTTGGAAAATCTTGAAATAAAGATGAGAAAACTTGAGTCCCGATTTGAGGACACAATATCAATAGTACTCTTTCCCGTATGAGCGTACGGTAAAACGACGCTAAAAAAAAGCTCTTTTGTTAATTGGTCGCTTAAAACCAAAAGATGGGGAGATTTCCAGGGAACTTGCGAGACGCAGCTCGTCCCGTGGGATATCAAGGAAATTCTACGGATCGGAAGTCTTTCAAATATTTAGCGGCAATATCCAATTTCTCCTCCTGTATCCCCACAATTCTTCATAGTTGATTTGCCGCGGCCATCGTTCGACTAAAGGCCATTATCGATCGATCGCGAGTATATCTTTAATTAGAAAAGTCGTACATCTTTAATTAAAACGCTACAAAACTCTTGTATTGTATAATAAAACATTTTATAATGATAATAAAATTGTGTTGCGATTAATGGAAATCATTTTAATATTTTTCTCTTAAACTGATAACGCGTACTTGTAATTAAAGGTAACATTAGATAATCGTGTTTAGAACTTATATGAGCCAATGGGTAACTTTTAAGAATTTCGGAGTCACATAATAGGTTTTCTCTTGCACCCTTATTTCAATCAGGATCTGTCAACACAGCCAAGAAAGTTAAGACGCGGTATACGCGCGCGCGAATAACTCTTTAGTAAGTTGTTGGTTTCGCCAGCAGATAATTCCAGTGCACGAGAAAATTGCGGATATCAGCGACACATAGTGGCCTCGTCAATTTGGAAATGACAAGGCAGTCGGCTGCGCGGACACCGCCAAATGGAACTTCTAAATGGATAAGATATAAGAGTTAACACTCGAGCGAAAGGAGGAATTAGGTGTCTGATGTATGAGCCACCGTCATCTACCCGTTCGCTTCCGATGAAGCATGCGCTCCGTAAATGATGGCGACATTTTCTCCGGATCGTTCCTTTGAAAAATGTTGGATAAATCCAACGGGTCGCGGGAATAAAGAGCGTCATTATCAAAATATAGTTAATATGCTAGGAAAAAACGAGATGGTATTTCGCGTATTATGCGAATTATCAAATTGTAGCCTCATCTTGTTTTAATCGCGTTTAATCCAAACGTAAAAGTTCCCGAAAATTGATATCACCGTATCGCGGGATCGATAAACCGCGAGGGCGACGCGAGGGGCATTCCCATCGCGCAAAGTTTGCAGATTCGATCTCCGCGACATCGACACGAGCAAACGCACAAGTCAGGGAAGTAGAAGTGGATGGCAGGGTGATGCATGTCCCGTGTACCAAGGGGTGAGGGGGATGGCACGGAAAACGTGATCCTGTGACTGATCCGTGAAAGCGTGAAAGGGTTTCCACTCCTTTTTCCACCCCTTTATCCACTCTACGAGAACACGGGGGTGTCGCGAGGCGACGATCAATCACTCCATGCCACAGCACCGACGCACACCTCCCTTTCCACCTAACTGACATCGTCCCCCTCCCAACAGCCACCCACTTCACCACCCCGCAGGGGTTAGGATATTCACATAAAGGATTTTCACTGATATAGAGTCGAAACGAACGACACTCCTTTTGAACCAAACGCGATATCTGTACATTATCTACATATTGTTTATCGTTACTTAAATATTCAGATCCGAAAAAAATAAGAAAAACCCACTATTACAATTTACAATATTATATCGACAATAAAATATTTTGTATTAATGTGTCAAAATATTACACCAAAATCATATTTCTCCAAAAGACAATTTCTTGCTTACTCATTGTGAACAATATATTAATTTTTATCAAAATAAAATACACCTCGGAGAAAACCCTTGATGCTCGCTACAGATTTTTCTTCGGCAAAATATCGGCAAGTATAAAGAAAAGGAAGAATGAAGGAAGGAAGGAAGGAGGAAGGAAGGAAGGAAGGAAGAACGGCTGGACTGCGAGAAAGAGAAAAAGGGCGGCGAGCGAGTGGCGATTAAGGATCATAGGGAAGCGAGCACGCACTGGAAATCGTAGGTCAAGATATCCAATGCTGCTTTTACGGGCCGTGTCCGTGTCGGGAGATACTAAAACTAATGTATTCATGAGATAATTATTTCTTGCATTCATTACGGGGCTGTAAAGTTTTTATTGGATCCTGGCCGGTCTGGTAAAGCGCGAGGCACCTTTACAAAGTTAGAGTACGACTCTCGCTCTCTCGGTCGCCTCTTTCTTCTATTTCACATGGGCCCGTTTACGGCACTTTTAAGGACAGTTCTTAGCCCCGGATCGTGCCTCGGATAACCTCCGAAACTCAAACAAGCTAGCGATATCTGGAATGCTAAAAGCATTCTTCAGTAATGTTTAACGGCCCGAGCAATATTTCGACGACCGTATCCGCACTGTGCAGCGGGAGAAATGCAAAGTGCTATCCTTCGTCCATGCACTTTAAGCACATAGCTGATTAATTTTGAAAAATTAATCGTGATAGTTGCAGAAATGCCATCTCACAATAGACATATAGAAAATTTACCTATTAGATTTAAACATTAAGAATATGTTTATCATCGACCAGATTTCGAGAGCATTTGAAATAAAATGTTAAAAAAAATCAATACTGCTAGTTATTACATGAGTTTTATCAATAAGTAATCCTAATAATCTCATTTCATATGTATTACATAATCCCTATAACACGAGAATTTTTAGTATATTTATTTTTAACATTTTTTATTTTATACACCAAAATTTTTTATTTTACACACCATCATGCAGTAAGTTCATTATAGAAATCTTCTTGTCCGCGCATCATTATTTTGGCTGTCCGTATAGTCTCTATTTTTATAGAGAGAACCGAACAGCCCGTATAATAAAACGTTTCTCGCGCGGATAATACAACCGTTCCCTCTCTTAAAAACACGGGGATAGTATTAATGCCGCGCGAAAGAGTGATTAATTGGAAGCGCGGCGCCGCGCAAGAATATCGACGACAGCGCGGCTTCGTCGGAACGGAGAGCCTTATTCGCCTTTGTACATCCGCCAATTATATCTCTTTAATTAGAGTCACTTCCGCGCAACACCGTCTCAGACATTAAATAATAAAGAGATGCTCGTTAAAAACTTTTTTTCACCCGCGGCCCGCCGTTTTTTCTTTCCCGCTTTAAATATGCAAATCGCAGCTTAATGGCCAATCAAAGAGTTCGGTTGGAAATCACGCCGCGTCTACTTCATTAAGCATCTTTGCAGTTGAAATCCTTCTTCATCCCCCGCCTTCGTTATTATTAAAATAGACACCACGAAGAATCTTTTGTACAATTCCGTTTAAAGTGCGGTAAGGCCAGTAGTCATATCTCATTGCATCATATTTCGATGAAATTATAAATATGTATTTAAATCTTAAATATCTGTACAATATAATATAAAATCTATATAAAATCTTAGATATATATATTTGTATTTTTTATTTGAATTTATTCTTATATATATTTGTATTTTTGTGCGAATCTAAATTTTTATCTTTAAGTCGTGTTTGTTTGTATTGAATGCAATTTTCTCAAGCATATTTGACAAAAAATCAGTAACACGTAAAAAGGGAGAAATATCTGACATTCTAACTTTGCAGACACCCATTAAATGTTCTTTGGACAACTTTTGAACTTCCGCTTGGAAATTTCCAAGGAAACTCGCTTGAAGATTTCGATCTGATTCAACTTGCGTCTTATTAGACTCCAACATCGCAATCGAGAATTTTTCTTGCACTGGTACTCTCTTCCAGTATTATAGAACTAAGCAAAAAAAAACAGCAAAAAAGGTAACATGGATGCTGGCAGACACTGTCCCAAAAGGACGTAGGCGCCGGTGGAATATTAACAACTTCGCCCTGGAGCCCTGAAGAAAGGACATTATTCCTTCCTGCACTTGCTTCCGCTGAATGAGAAAAATATATCAATTTCTCTGTCGTATAAAAATGTGCTTATCCGTTGCGCACAAGGAATGGAAAACATTCTATAGACTTTTCCATATCCCGGCACTGACACAACGAAGAAATATGCCAACGTCCGTGAAACAAAAGGAGAAGGGAAAAGAGATATGGAGATGGGGATGAAAATAATAGAATTTTCTTTCCGTTTTCTACATTTCTCTGATTACTATGAAGATGTATTAATTTTTCCACCATGTATTATCTTTCTTCATCGTACTATACATCAATCTTAATGTTTTTTGAATCTTCTTTCTGCTGTACAAAAGTGAACGCGTGAAAGAACGATATTTAGATAGATTAGGTTTTTCCTGCGAGAAGTCGAACGATCCTGAAAGGATCAAGATTTGAGAATCGACATAAAGAGACGGAAATTTCCGATGTGTAAGGGAGGCGATAGTGTTAATGTACGGAGGCAGGCAGAACACGGAAGAATGGAGTTGACGGTGTGAAAATGATGAAGGCCGGAACCGGAAATGAAGCTCGTCGTTATACATTATCCTAACGTCAATGGAAAAAGTGGAAATATATGAACAATGCAGCTTACATGACGATTTCTCTCATAATAATTTATATATTTATTATCGTTTTACATAACGAAAATAACGAAGAAAGCGTTTTGTCTTAAACATTTATAAAGAATTAATTTTGTACAAAAGTACACGCATACATGTATACTTGCATGCCTAATTAAGTTCGATATTTTAATAGATAACATAGAAATAGAAGTTTTAGATACCTAAATAAAATAGAGAGAAATGTTTTTGAATTTATGTAAATTCCTGATCTCTGTTTATATATATATATAACCAACAATTTTACCGCAAATCGGATGTATATCCTATACCATGCGCTTCTCTTGCAAGTCGTGTTACTTACCGAAGGGATGAGGTGAGGAGAAATCGGATTTTCCCGATGCGAGGAACGCTAAACTGAAGAACGATCGATGCCGTAGGCGCAAACGTCGAGACACGAGATTTTCGCACGTGTTCACAGGCCTGTCTATGCGATTCCCGTAATCCTGTGCCGCCCGCGCACGAGCTTTCGTCTCTCCCTGTAAAAAGGAGAGCTGAATTGAAATCGGCTTTCCGAAATTGCGCGCCGTTCCGTAAGCATCCCCAGGGAGGAAAATGCAAACACGCCTATGCTGTGTGGTCCATCAAAGAAGAAGGGAGATAACAAAAGTGCGAAGTTCGGGGGTTGAGAGAGACGCATGTGTCGTCACTCTCAGGATCCGAGATCTTCGTATCTAAATCCAAGATAAATCCAAGAGAAAAGCACTAGGAAGCATTAAGTCCAAATAAACCATTTGTGTACGATTGGTAAAATGTGGGGAAAAGATAGCTTCTTTGATCGGAAAGAATGAGCTGTATATAAAATATGAAAACAAGATTTAGAATTTTCTATATAATAATTGGCTATATTTCAAATTAGATCTCTATTACAATTTTCATAATAAGGAATTAAATATAATATAAATAACAACAAAAATATAAAACGAATAAATAATAACTTATATTATAACGTATGTTATTTCTTTTACTAAAATGTTTCGTTATTTTTGAGAAACTTAATTATAAGAAAAGATGTTACATATGCAATGAATATAATAAGATTAAAATTCTTATAATTTTCTTTTTGATCTGACAAAAGTATTAAGAAATCAAGCATATAAAATATGTAACAGCTCATAAAATATCAATTACTTGAAATTTGTTAAAATATTGTGTTGCAAATATTTTTAAATGCAATAAATTGGCTTTATCCTAATTACTATAATTTACTGAATTATTGTTCGTTCAGAATATACAATTATTTTAGAAAAAATATTTCATACAGTCACTAGCTACGTCATCTGTTGCAATTATAAGGTACTATAATTAAGTCTGCTGAAATAAATGTGTTGTAGGAAATCAATTGTAGCGCCATCGTACGAATATCATTTGAAACGTGTTGCCTCTTTATAAGTATAAATCAATTTTTTCAAAAATGTTATAAAAAATAAAGCCATAAAGATCATACTTATTTTTATCGAAAAATGTTCTTTAGCAGTAAAAACTTAAAAAAAAAAATTACGATAAGACAATTTTTATAATAACTTATTAAGCAAGATATTTTAATGATAAGGCAATAATATACAAATATCACAAATATAAAAAGTTTAAAAAACAAACTGACATACCTTTTCCAGTCGTGATATACTTCAGAGTATGTACAATGAATAATATTATATATATTCCGAAAATTAGAGTTTATATAATTTTTATAAAAATTAAAGTAGAATAATAAAAATTACATGTATATTAATATTGAAGACCCACTAAAAATGTTACGAATACCGAAAAACATCTGTTTGAAAATAATTGAAAAACCAGTCACACTACACGTTCTTTCACCCTTGAACTCCACCATAAAACTGACTACCCTTTTTCCTGAGGCTTATATGGAAAGCAATAGGGAATGTAAGCTCCACCCATTTCTCACTCTCAAAGAAGATAAAAAGATGTAAATTTGAAAGAAAATACATAGACTATAGAAAGAAAATTATATCCCTTTAGTCCAAACTTGTTACAAAAATACTCATATGTATACTAGAAAAGGAATATCATTCCATTATATTGCATATAACTAATGTAGGTATTACCAATTTATCATGTATTATTTCTTTAATATAATTCTTATAAACATTTATATAAAATTATTGCTTTACTTTAAGGCAATCTGTTTAACAATATTTTTCTTCGTACAGCATACAACGCTCTAGTACACATTTTTTTGGGGTTGATCTGATGAAAGAAGTGAAAGGGGTGAATATTTTTTCATTCAAGGGATGAAAAAGGGTGAAGAGTTGAAAGAATAGAGAGGGATACAATTTTTTTCTCACTGAGAATTTCATTGTGCTATTCCATCAGCACTTCAATAAATAGTAAGCAATAATTTTATATAATATTGCAGTTTTAAAAAGTTTAGTTATAGATAATATGAAGGTAACTTCTAATATCTGTCTAAATAAACTCAAGATCATTCAAGATATATTAAAGAATATTTAAAAGAAATGTTTGCTGGAAAAATACAAATCATGTATGTAGCCTTAGTTAACACATGTATTTATTTTTGTAGATTGTATTTAAATATAACATTGTAGAATATTTTTGTGATCTACTTTTAAAAAACTGAAAGTAACTTCTAAAACAAAAAATAAACATAAGCATATCTCTATATATATCTATAAAAATATATTTAAAAAATTTAAATGGATCCAAATATTATTCCTTCATTGAAACAGTCTTTCTCTTTTTCTCTCTGGAAATTTTCAACAAATGTTCTTGATATATAATATGTACACTTATTACACACTTTCAAAGCTGCCACTTCACATAATCCTGACATCCTGGCAACTACTTGGCAAACAGACACACTGCGAAGCAGTTTTGACAACAGCTTGTGGCGAACTGAGCTACCCTTTCCATGCAGAGTAGTCCGCGGGGTAGATCCAATACGAGCCTGCCCAATCACAGGCAGCTCCCGGCCAACCCCCAGGAGTTTATCCTCCGTAAGGAACGTTGGAGAGGGACAGCGAGCAGCAGTCTCCGGGATACCGAGCATGCTCGGACGGAGCAGCCAAAATCCCATGTGTCGTATCCTATCAATTTTGATAGAAAACAGGAGAAAAAATTGACCAATCCAATAATTGTACACTAAAAGTTGACAGATGTCTTATTAGTATCTAACTCATTTATGTTGTTGATGAATCTTAGCTCAACTTGTATAAGAGCACTTATATACTATGTCTGTAACACTTACTTAAATGGAAAATATAAAAATCTTAATGTATATACTCACAAACCGCTGAAGAAGCATAGTCAATACTTCTGCTGCTGCAGCACCCTTTTTTAGCAGCTACCCCTTTTTATGGGGAAAGGGGTTGCTGTACCCCTTTCAAAGGGGTTAAAATATAAAAGAGGGGCCTATGTAATGTGGCGTCAAAAAAATCTTTTATCGAACGATCGAACGGTAAATTGAATAATGGTAGTCGGAAAGTACGCTATTTCCACATTGGCCTTTTTTTTTATAATCACGAACATTTGACACTTTTGTATTTCAATTTTCAAATTATTAAAACATAATCTTCGATTATAAAAAATATAACTTACTTTGATACATATATGTCATAATAAAATATAAACAATATAAACGATGTTTAATATGATAGCTAATCGCAAAATCAATAAAAAATATATTTTCTATGTCACTTGCTTTATAACCTAACAGGTTCGATCATCTTTTGACTAATTTAATAAATACAATATATGACAAAACAATATTTTAGTTTCTATTTCAAAAAACGTGATTTATATATATGTATATTTTTTTGTTAAAATATTTTATACATTAAATAACAACGAGATTTTTATCAAAGCATGCTTACACAGCGTGGTTGGGTTAGGTTGAAGTTTCAGGCAGAACCAGGCAGAACCACTCTTTATCCACAGAGCACTGCTGAGAAATATGATCTACGAGTTTCGAGAGTTCACCGCAGTTTGTGGACGCAAGATTTGTTCTTTATAAATGAACTTTTTGTACTTTCTCTATTTTTTTTCCTCTTCTCTCTGACGCCTAATTATATTTCTGTTTCATCGTAAGTGCAAGAAGTGCAGCTCAGCTGCGAAGAACTATAAGAATAAAAGAGTGGAATGAGTAGATGTATAGTGACATGCCACGATGTCCGTAATTTCATTATGACTCGTTCATTTCTGTAATATCACAAAAATTGACTGAACATCGCTGAAAAATGACGCTATATCACTTCGGAAATTGTCTGGCATTGGTATACGTGCCATACTACTTAACTTACAAATATTCCGGCCTGTAAGTATCCAAGGAGCATTCTCGGTTCTAACCTCGTGAGTTTTAAAGGGACGTGTAATTGAGGAAAAACGTTTTCAGGTCGGAGTACGGCGCATTTTGGAAATGTATTCAAGCCGGTGGTATTTACATATTCACGCAGCTCGTAAAAATGCTGGCGCTCGCAACATTTTTTCCAACTGCTGACAATGTGGGAGAAGAAAGTTTTGATGTTTTTGGAGTATGTATTGTCAGATCTCTTTTCCTAAGTTTTCTTTCCCTTTGCAATCAGGCAAGCATTAAAATTCTGTTGCTTATTGCATCTACTTTATATTGTCTAAAAATAGATAGTGCCTCTATTTATCCCTGATTTTTTTATTTATTGTTTTATAAGCTTTTTTGCTTGAATTGTGAATTTGTAAAAATCAGTAGACCAATCAATTTATATATTATAACCCTAGCTAGCCGCACTTATTTTTGAGTTCTTAATTCGCCACACTCTGGTACGTGAGACCGCTCGACTTTGTCGCTTTGTCATTTTCATTCTAATTAATATTTATAAGCTTGTAATGTAAGAATTGGAAATATAGAGTCTATGAATAAGATGTTTATGATAATATTAGATAAAGAAAAGGATTTGAATCTTAAATTGAAGTAAAACGTGAGAAATGTGAAAATTGAAAAAACGTACAGCGGTTTTCTAGACCGGAATGTGGCGAGGGTTCATAATTTGAAGTGTTATAAAGCTCTACACCTTTTTAAAAATAGAAAAATAAATTTCAGGAATTTTTAAAGTCATCCATTGATCTGGCAGACCTGGTAGGAATTTTGTTGGTACTAAACAGTATACCTGGCAAAGGCCACGCCAAGGTATTAACCGCTGGTATAGGATGGGCAGGAGCTGAAGTGCTGCTTACAAGATTCTTGCTGCTCTGGGTTGGAGCACGTGGCGCCGAGTTCGATTGGAAATATATTCAAAAGAGTCTCGAGTCGAACATCAATTTGGTAAGAATTTATTATCTATATTTTATGATGAGAAATTGAGGCAGACGTGCGCAAGGAAACTTATGTGATTTGTTCCTAACAGGTGCAACACATAACAACCGCAACATTGGTTTGGTTATGGTCCAGACACGATTTAAAACGTGGTTTAGTTCCTATAGTAATTGGTATGCTTGTACTTACAGTGTACAGGCCACTCATGCTAGACTTTCTTTCATTATTTTTATTAGCTGGCCCATGGTCGGCACTTATTATTAAGGCGATTACCACCTTTTTCATCGGCGCAACAACGTTGCATATTTACGCAGGTCTCGCGCATTCAATTGGAATTTTCTAAACTTTAATTTATGTACATATTACGTGTGTGTGTGATGTACAGTTGTTTTGATCAATTCATTGATTGATGTTTCCCATTTTCCAATAATACTATAATTGTATATTACGTAATAAATTCGTTGTTATTACATTTATATTGTATTATTTTTATCTTCATAATTGTGTGTCATAAATTTCACAATTTGAAAGCATTTCACTTTATTAAATATGTATCCAATAATCTTGCGAGCAATAACATGCTACAGTATATTATGTGCGAAAAGAGAAAAATTTTTAAAGTTGATTATATTTTTCAAATAATACTTTTTTTAAAGATACAAATACCAAAGAGATATATTTTTCCAAATACAATAATATCACGAAAAAATGTTTTTGTATTAATATATGTAAAATTATATAAATTTCTGTCATATCTTCTGTTTCCTTGATTCTAAGTATATTGTATGGATAATGCATCTTTTACTCAATTTTTAAATAAAAAAATATAAACAGTTATATAAAATATAAAGTTATTATTTTTAAATTATTAACTGTGTTAATGAAACATTTATAAATGTATATTCTTAGTCAGTCCTATTATATTAATTTGTATTCTCGTTTGAAGAGTATTCTTTTGAGAACAATGGCCAAACGATTTCTGCTGTCTCACTTTATCCTTTGTTCTAAAGACTCCGTTCTATTGCGGTTAATGGACGTTAGTGACCGCAGGCCTGTATATACAATAAATATACGCGGTGACAATCATTTTAGAATAGAGCTCGCACATGACAGGCCTTGATTGTTTTGAATTTGAAGTTCAGCCAAAGCTAAAAGGGACAAACTATTTCCCCCTCCTTTGAGTATAAATATCTCTTCGAAAGAAATTAAACCTATTCTGTTAGCTATTGTTAATTAATTTTATGATAAATTTGCAACAATATTTTGCTAGTTTCAATATCTGGATGTTACACATCTAATTTGTGTTTAAAATATAGGTACTAGATATACACTGACAATTAATCAAAATAACTATAGATGAAAAAATATATTTGTAATATTTTATATATAACTTGATTCAAAAATATGCTGGATTAGAATCCTTTGAAAGATATAATAGTTTATTAATTTTGCTAATTCTCTAAAATGTATAAATCGCTGAAGAAGAGTATTTCCTTTATATTGTTGACGTTAGATTCATCTCAGAAAGAGTTACACAGTGGGATTTCCATTCCGATTACTAATTGTAAAATTCATTGTAGATGCGTTAGAAGTATATAAACTTTCCTTGTTTTAATAACGTGTCTAAATAACGGACCTAAACCAATGATTCATAATAAAACCAAGTCTTTTCCCCTTCTTCAAGTATGTAATTAGTATTTCCTCAAATATGTAATTTAAGAATCTGCTCAGGGACATGACAGATCTGTCTACAGACCTGCTAACCATCTCTCCAGTTAGTCTGGCATCGTTGACAATGCTGGAATTCAAATTGACCATTAACTAATAACGCACATTATATCAATAAATTCTCATAAAGGTTCACGAGAATCTGTATGTTTATATGTACAAATAAAATTATTGCGACTTCTCTTGTGATGTCATTCCGTTTATAGAATTTTATTTCAACCAATGTATAGAACTTATATTGACCGCATTTTTATCACATTATTTCCGGGAATTTTTTGCGGGAATAAAATATAACAATTTTTTTAAAAATTGTTTTTAAAATAAAAAATTGCATTTATATGCATAGAAGATTAAATTTTACATTTCTGCAATATGTTAATGAATAACAACGGAACATTCTGGAATAAGTTGACGGTTTGCAGTTTTATAAATTTATTTTGTGAACTTCACTAGATCATGTGTGACCTCTATCACGTAACTGAGATGCGTTTATCACGTGCAGATACACATTTGATGTACTTTCCCCTTATCACATGTAATAAATTATAATTACTATAAGAATGTGACGTTTACTTACGTGGTGTAACGAGAAAAATTTGGTGTCTTTGGCGTCATTATTTACGCGCGCGAGTAGCTTATTGTAAACATTGTAAACAAGATATATCTATAGATATTTATTTATTTCCCAAAGTTTTTATACTTTACGAGAATATGTACGAAAAATATGTATTGACTTCTAGATTTTAGAAAAATTTAGAAGAAAAACGTACGTACTGAAATATATAATATATCTAAAAAATATAATAAAATATGAAATATAACTATATATACATTTATAAATTTATAGTACTTAATAATTTATTCTTTAACAATTTTTCGATTAATTATTTTATGAGAATATTCACGAAAATGATGTATCTTTTTAGAATTAGGTAAACACGTGCACACAGTTGCATTATTTATATACTTCCGTGTTAATATTAATCCACAGTACATACATAAAGGATTTCTCAGTAAGAGCCATTTTTCTTCAGTTAGATTGACGTTATTTCGACGCGTCACCAAAACAGGTTCCAAAGTTCACGTTTCGTCTATACGAAGAAGCTGCTCCATATATTGGCGTACACGTGATGTAACCCGGCAGGTCAGGACATTACTGATCCGGCATCTCTTCATTTAACTCAATGACGCCGAATACACGCGCCTGGATTGTCGTTTGCCAAACGATTACGTGAAAATAGGAAAAACAACCGTGGACTTTGGACGCGTGAGCCGCCAAGAAAAATGCGGAGAGCCGGTTTCATCAGGCGCAACGTATACAATTTATGATGCTAATCAAACATATGTATTAGAGCAATCATCAGTCGCGTGAGCTGTCGAGTTTACGGTGTGGTAACGCTGAACAAAAATTGATAAAGGAAATGCCGCTTAAATCTCCGAAAACCGTTACTTCCGCCAGTTGGAAATTCGTATCGCACACGATAGCAGGGCATTATCAGTAAAATAGTTGTAGGAGTAAGACGTCATCAATGACAAAAGGTCAACAGAACTAGCTTGACAGATAGGAGATAAGACTTTTTCCCATTTTTTATGATCTTGCGGAAAGCGTAAAATTTTCATTGTTCGCGTGATTTTTGCGATAAATATCCGCGATTGAGGAAAAACGGATATTCGCCCATCGCGGGCAAGTTTATCCGCTATCGTGGGTAGAGGGGCCAGCCGTTTCTCCATTGGCCCGCACAACGTAGTTGTTCGCTCGTGGGTTCTGGTCGATGCTGCTAAAAGCCGCGTCGGAACGAGACCTACTAGTCGTCGGAGAGCCGAGAGAAGTGCGTATCGACCGGTCGCATCCTGCGGAGAACCCGAGTCTATTCTCGTCCGTACGTCGGGCATATTTGCATCGTTCACGTGATAGAGCGCGTTCCCCGAGGAGGAAGCCGAGAAACCGTAGCTGAAAAGAATCGACGAGTTCTACCGAGAAGTCGCGGTGAGCATCAGCTGACATTTTTCTGGCCCTCGGCTGCTTGAACGCCTACATCGATAGCGCACGCCGATCGGAGTCTCCGTCGAAGAGGAGTAGGACTGCGCGGGAGAAAGAGAAATCGAGATAGAAAAGAGAAAAGTATATGAAGGGCGATCTGAGCAACAGTGACCTCGGCTCAAATTCTAAGCGCATCTCGCAGAGCAGAAACGCGAGGTTGGTGAAATCGGAGCGAGGTGGCCGCTATTACTATGTAAATTTTCAGCGGGCGTATTTGTTTGCGCGCGCGCGCACTGTCGCCAACGAGCAACGACATTAAGCAGCTACGGCAGCAGCAACATCGTCGTCGATAGTATCGGGAGGCACGGGCACGAGCGAGAGGGAATCGCACGGCACGCCGCAAAGTAGAGACCCGGTCTTTTCTCTGACAAATTCCAAGGAAGCCCGCAAACTGGCTCCGGAAGTGAGGATAAAGCAAATTGGAATGAGGGAGGACCTGCTATCTATAATACGGCACACGAGCAGCGACCACTTCTCGGAAGAGCTTTAGCCGGGAGCTTGACCCAGGAAGTAGAGACGCGGCGAGCCGAGCCCAGGCTTGGAGGCGACAATTCGCGGCTGATCCGCGCGATAGAGTAGAGGCGGCTCTCGCTCTCGTTGGCGGGTTTCTTTTTATTTGGAGCGGCTGCGGCTCCACGTAAATCGGGCTTCCTATTTGCTCCGATGGTCCTCGGTATTATTTTCAAATCGATCATAATTTCGTTGTTGTCGTCGTCGAAAGAAGAGGAAAGGGAGAGCCGAATACCCGGAAGACCGATTGTTCTACGTAATACGGGTTTCTCGGTTATGCCCTGGGTCGCCGCATGTTTCGATCTGCTGGCGGCTCCCTTACTGGGTTACTGTCTCACGATCAGGAAACTGGCCCTGCAAGCCGGTCTTCTGCAGGAGAAAAAAAGCGATCTCGCCGTGAGGCAGACGCCTAACACGGAGATACCCTTGAACGCTGACACCACCATCACCACCAACACCATCATGGCCCCCAACGCGGAAGAGCGTCAAGGTAAAGTTCCGCGCGGGGTGAGTCGCTTGATGCCAAAGGGGTGTGAGACGTCTGCTTACGTAATATGTGTGTCTTCTTTTACATCACTACTTTTGAACACTTTGCTTTCATATTGCGGAGCTTATCTGCTTATCATGGAAAGGTGCTTATCTACGCGATTAATGTAACTAAGGTGTCAAAGTGCTTTGTATGGCGAACATATATACACAAAATAGGATACATAATTTATCAGTCACTTTTTCGTTGCATGGCACCATCTAACTTACGTAATCTCCGAAGAAAAGAATTTTGAATAAACCTGTAGCGTATACTCAAAATGTCAAGATGTCATTGTATTACTTATCTTAAATTTACATTGTAAAAAGTCTAAAGTCTAGGGAAATATTTATTATAAAGAGTAAGCGTGCTCTTAAAATAATTATCAATTACAACTTTTGTCTGTCCGTTTTATGTTACAATTGTCTTGTAGAAAGCTAGCATAATTTCCTTAAAAATAATAGTAATTTATAGATTTTCTGTTTAAATGAGTTGTGCAATGTATAATTAACATGATTGTTTTAATATTTATTTTGTTAACTAGTGTAGGTTTGCATTTTTAGTAACCTTTATTGTATCTTATGCATGTGCATTTATTACTCGCTGCTTACTATTACAATCAACATTAACTGACTCGTTTTAACAGCATTTGAAAAAAACCTACGCTCACCGCATGTCAAGATAGAAAAAGAAAAACTTGTAATTCATGCCTTTCATTCTTTCTCAATTTTCGTTTGTAAAAAAAATAAACACGCTCACAACACGTATATCTTGTAAATAATATACTCTCTATAGAATCCTACGAATTATTCTGATATTGTGTTAGAAGCCGGTTTATAATAAAATTCAAAGGAAATGAAAAGTGAAAGGAAAACACCGACTCGAGTATTGAGGTCGCCGCGTCTTCGGTATATCGCAATGTCGGTCTTGCTCGTCTTATATTGCATTTGTGCTTCTTTACTCGTTATTTTCGACGTAAAATTAACGGCAGCGAATATTTCATGTCTTTCAAATGTGGAAAGTATATCCTTAAAATTATATATTGTACTGTGTACGAAAGAAGGTGGCTGGCTAAAATTATGAAGGGTATAAATAAACATATGAATGCGATCGGATTTAATCGTCATCATTTTCATTACCTTACACACAACAGCTTGGACAGATCATCGATACATGAAAGAATAATTAATATTTTGCTTATCTTTTTTCAAACGCATTAATACAAACTTGAGGATGTGCAAGCAGTTATTGTCCCATCAATGTGTGCTTGACTTTTATTACAACATCCGTACTTTTATTTGCGACATTGTTCTCACGTTACAAACGTCATTGTTATACGCAAGTATCGGATTCTTACGATTCCGTCTTGGAATATAATTCTGTGAAACAATCGGCATAACGTATCGAAGAGGAAATTGAATGCACTTAAAATATATTACAAAAGATATTTTTAATAAATAAATGCGAATGTGTGTGTAAGCATTGATTGACTGGTAATTCCTCCTTTTTATACGCGTACGTCACATCCTACTTCATGACATTCAATTTTTATATATGCAACAATATACTTTTCATTAAAATTATCCATATTAAATAAAAAAATTAACGCGAGAATGTGTACTGTTACAAGAAATATAATAAACATAATATAAATATAAAATAATTCATAAAAGAATTTTTGATACAAATGATTTACTTTGTGTCGTATATTATATATATGTTTATGTTAATTAAAATTTTAATACATATGTAAACCATTAGATACGTAACAACGTTTCTACAAGATACATAAAACACTGAGATTTACATATTAAATAATATATTTTTGCATTGAATTGCGCGAAAAAGACATGACATCGAGAAACTTTTATTCCTCTATAAGCCAAATATTATGTATAAATATTATCTGAAAATATACGATAAATACCTACATGTTAAAATGTGTCTGTAATTTATCATTCTGGCATTGAGGAATCGATAACTTATCACTACGTCGTCAGACACCACCAAATCGTATTCGTGTCTTATCTCTTAAGTTTTGCAAGTACAGGGAATTTCCAAATTGTTACGAATTCTTACATTCAAAAATTCTTTTGCGAATATAAGAGAGACTAAGGAAACAAATCGATGGAATTAAACGTCGTAAATTTTTAAACGAATAATATTAAATCTCATGAAACATACTAAAATTTTGAATAAAATTTCTGCTAAAATATAATTTCAAACCAAATATGTAATACCAAGATTTTTATTTATAAAATTATTTCTATTTTTTACACTTAAATAAATAATATTTTTTAAATGTTAAATACTGTAAAAGAAAAATTTCTGAAGTTTTTCAATATAAAGAAGATTGTTCCTTATATCAGTTAAAAATTAAACTTTTTAATATTATAATATTAACTTAATATCAATTATTTTTAATTAATAATAAATAATTTTAGTCACATTATACGAAATAAAAATATATATAATAGAACGTTTTTCAACATGTACAAGAATAATAAATTATTTCACACACTACGCGTATAATAATCTGAAGTGGTACATTTTAATCTATTGATAGCATTGATTAGATAATATTATTCCGAATAGAAGGGATAGTCATTATGCATGTGCGTTATCATCTTGAATTCAGATATGAGAGATAAGCTTATCATATATGAACAGGTAATGCTTTTTATTTTTGGAACATAAAGGTTCTCAAGAATCTCAAGCTGTTATTTCCGTTTCGTGGAACCCGCGAACCATAACAAAAATTAATAATATTTATAAAGCTATATCAAGTGTATTAATTACATTTTTGTGGTTTAATTAATATGATGATTGATGTTTTTTAATATTTATGTAAATTCAAAAAATACTTGATAGCGAATATTCACTACATATTCGCAAAATCTATGGGAAGAGAAATAAATATTTTATTTTTGTCGAAAATAAAATGTAATTTTACTGCGTTTAAAGGGTAAATTATTGTTGGCTTCGGTAACGTGTGGAGAAGCCGAAACAAAGCCCAGTGTACGCGCATTTAGAATCTAAATATAAAACCCTGTGTTTCTAGTGGGGCATGAGGCATCATATATATTTGATTGCCCGCTCACTCGACGTCGTAGTATTTATTAAATATATGTAAAGTTTCTCTAGAACAATCAAATTTTAATTCTTTTCTCGAATATCGCTCTCGTCAATCTTTAATCCGTATACTTCTGTAGACAGATATAAGCTAGATAAGATAATTTACACGTGCTTTTCATACGTAAAAGAAGTGAATTAATTAAATATTGATATTATACTCATCTGCTAATTTTAAAATTTGTTATAAAATTGATTAATTTTGAAAAATATGGCGTGAAAGAAATGTTACAAAATTTTAAGAATGCACTTTTAATATTTAACAATTATACAATTAATTTTTAGAATATCTGTTTTCTATAAATTTCAATTAATATAAGATTACACATATTTTTGTAAACTATAATTGTTTCTTGTTTTTTGATACGCAACAAATCTTTATGTGATCTGTTTACACACACATTAAATGCTTAGAAACTTGAATTGAGTTTTTATCGTGACTAATTGATTTAATTACCATACATATTATTGGTAAAAAACTTGTGATTTTCTCGTGAGTTTTTATAAAAAATACTGCATGAATGTTTTAGTTCCCGATCATTGAATCAATTGTAGTCTTCTTTACAAACACGTGCAGTTTTTGTCAATGGGAAATGGATAGTCATAGTGCGAAATTGTTTCTCTGCATATTATAATGTGTATTTCATAACATACGGCATGCTTATGAAGTATATACTTCACACAAATTATTGCTTTTGCAAATGTATAATGTAGTATAAAAATTCATGAATAATGCAATATTATTCCACGCTTTGCAGTTTGAATGTATTTTTATAACTCTCGGTAGCATATCTGACTTAAACATTTTACGATCACTGATATTTTCAAGAGGATTTTAGTAGTGTTGCTGCAAGTCCAAAGTCACGTTGTCTGTATATACCATTCTCATGTTACTACTGCTCGTGCCTATAAGCATGACGCGTGTTCAGATATATATTGCCAAAATATTCGCACTAGTATATAACAAAATGTCTCATTCAAAGGAACTCTGACTAACAGCATTATATTTAGTTTTTATCCTGTGATTTTTAAAAATTTTACTGACGACATTTTGAGGCAAACATTGGAGACGGGAAAACCCATTTTACAAATATGTGTATAATATTGTTTCGGGATAAATTTTTTATTCGGAAGAAAAGAAAATTTGACTTCTTTATCCATTGCGTATTATGCAATTCGCATAAAGTTACAGAAATTTTAATATTACTAAAGCAAATACTAATATATATGTAATTCAATTTTGTTTTAATTATATTAAAGATTATAAATATATGATATGCAATAGATCAGAATAATAATAAATGCTTACAATTGTGTACATTAATGAGAAAAATATGTTTGAAATTTACATTATAGTCGCCGTAAAATAATTTTCAGTCGTTAATGTATTAAATCCGAGAAAGAGTACTTGCATAAATTACCTAAGCGTTAATAGAGTACTGAATGCTTTATTGTCTGCATTTAGATCCCGGCAAAGAGAAGGTCGCAGGGAGAATCTCAGGACCAGCGAAGTCATCGCGCAAATTTGTGGGAGTTGTCGTAGCCATTTGCGGTTTACCGGCTCGCGGAAAAAGCCAAATCGGGCAGAGCCTTGCTCGCAGACTCATTTGGAATGGTGTAACCACAAAAGGTAAGAATGTATACTTAATGACATATCTTAAGGCAAGCATTTATTAAATCTATTATACGATGTAAAGAGATTTATTGCAGCCATATGCTTAATTTTTTATCTTGATTAAACGTATATACGTATACAAGAGATTAAATCAATATTCCCTAAATCTTGTTTCAGTATTCCGCGTGAGTGATTACCGTAGGAAACGATTCGAACCCCATATATCACACGAATATTTCCGGCCGGATAATGCGGCAAACAATGCGTTAATTGCTCTCGCTCAGAGAGATGCCATGCAGGATTGCGCGGCATGGCTTACATCTGGAAATACCGTAGCGGTAAGTATCTAGAAGAATATTGGTAGTTTCTTCACGAGATTACGCTTGTAAACAGCAATATCTCGAATAATGCTACCTCTCTGTTAGCATTATTCGAGGATAATATTCATGATTATTTTACTGCACTTATAAGTATCGCAGAAAATTGCATGGCAGTTAATTAAGTAAATTGTTATTTGGGTAGCTTCACAGATGACATTGTATATCACACAGTTATTCTTTCTCCCTGTATTAAGATCCTGGACGCTATGCTGATTACACGAGCGCAACGCGCGGAGGTCTACGATTACTTCTCAGGCCAGCTCGGTTACCGCGTTCTCTTCATCGAATGTGTCTGCGACGACGCCGAAGTCCTCGAGTACAACCAACAAGAAATCGTGAGACATTGCGCTGACTACGCGGGAGTGGACGCCGCTCTGGCCGCGGAGGATCTGCGTTCAAAAATTGCTTTTTACGCTGGGTTATATGAACCTATGAATGACAGAACTTATCCCAGGATCAAGATCGACACCGGTACTATGGATATCGAGACTTGTAAAGTGTCCGGTCATATTGAAACCAACGTGCTTGGATACCTCGGAGACATCTCCCTCAAACCCCACACTCTTTACTTCTCGAGAGTAAGCAGTTGTAGCGTTTTTCTACATTGTGACATATAAATTGCCGAAAAAGAAAAATAGAATATCCCATAATTATATTTTGCCGTTGTTGCTCATTTCGTTTTCTATTTTTCTTCGCGTTCTATACATTCTTTTACTATACATTTTTGTATTGTATATTGCAGCACGGCGAAAGCGAGTACAACGTGGTCGGTAAAATCGGCGGCGACACGGTATTAAGCGCCAGAGGTGAACGTTACGCTCAAGCGTTGTCAAACAAGTTCAATGCCATGCATATTCCCGATCTTCGGGTTCTCACCAGCCGCCTTCGCAGAACGATCGCAACGGCGCGCGGTATCGAAGCCCCTCAAGAGCACGTGGCCGCTTTGAATGAACTTCACGCGGGGGTGTGCGAGGGCCTCTCTTACGAAGAGATGCAGGAGCAATATCCGCAGGTAATTGTCATCTTTAAGTAAACCTAATGGAGCAATAAAATATTGATTGCCAGTTAAAAATATTCCAGCTTCGAATCATACGTTAAATTCGGAATTAAGTTCGAGCAATTTAATTTTTATCAACAATAGCCGTTGATCGTAGGAAACAACCGTGACATAATAACAACGCTGTCTCTTATGTCTTACGTTTAATTTTGTAACAGGAGTTCGCTTGGCGCGATCAGGACAAGTTGCGTTATCGTTATCCGTGGGGCGAGAGTTACATCGACGCAATGCAACGCGTCGAGCCGGTAATTGCCGAGCTGCAACGCTCCAACAACGTTCTCGTGGTGTCACATCAGGCGATATTGCGCTGCATCATCGGATTCTTCCTCGATAAGAAGCCCGAGGAGCTGCCCTACATGGACGTGCCGCTGCACACGATAATCTGCATCACCAGCCAGGGTTACAATTACAAGCTCGAGTTCTTCAAGCTGCCGATCGAGTGCGTGAACACGACTCGCGTCAAGCCGAAGAACTGCAGCGGCGACCGTACAGCTGCCGACGCTCTGCTCACCGTTCCAGCGCACTTCGATATACCGGACCCCTGGAGAAACCCCGGCAACGGGCCTACTCTCGTGCAGCAGCACTAAGAGAACCGCGAGCGACCCGTTTCGAAAGTGACGTAAATCAAATTTTGAAACACGACGCGAGTTTGAGCCCTGAAGAGAACAGTAGTACAAATCGATCGATACATGATTTTATGTATGGGGTATCAGAGAATTTTACAATCGGTTGAAGGAAATAAAATAAAAAAGGTAATATATTATCAATTTATATAAATAAATCTTATTTATAATATATTTTTTGAGATTAAGGATTGATAAGATCTTCAAGAGTTGATTTACGTCACAATTGAAACAAGGCATTCTTCTTCGCTTAATTACCCTAATAATTAGCTGTATACTCGCGGCGCTATAAAAGATTATTTACTTGTTTGTAATTCTGGAATTTACTATTATTATGAAGGAAAATTAGACCACTGTCGTCATTGATGTTCGTAATGGCAACTACATGAGACGATTTTGTTCATCTTCACGCGTAGTATCTCGCAAAGGCACGATGCGTTTTGACTTAATTTTACTTACATCAAAGTGCGAATGCAAAAGTCTGTACTGATTTCAAGAGTTCTTTTATGTAATAGAGAAACTCGCAGATTTTATGGCATAAATGTCTTTGATACTTAGTCGACAATATTATGTGTACGCCCGGACCGACGTTGACAATAGGTCTATGATATCCCGGTAGGATAATATACCCCTTTTTGATAGCTAGCAATTGGAAGCCCATGACTCGAGCCCTCTACGTATCGCGGGACTCATAGTTTTGTCGATAGTTTATAGCATTATTCGAACCATAGTACGCTCATGGTAGCTCATAGATTGAGACATATTACCTGTTGTGCTAAACATACGCACAGATTTGTATATAGAACGAAATGGGGAGTTGATGTTGAAAACTGTTTGTGATAGAGAAATAGTAGCGCGTAGATACTGTCACCGTGGTTGACGCGCATATAAATTACCGTATCTTTTCGTATCTCAGCATTTTTAAAATTTCTTTTTCTCTCAAAATATATTACGAAACTTTTATTCCGTGGTGTGATCATTTTTATCAAATTGAACAATCTTTTTTATCGTCACGTTTTATCGCTTGAGTGTCATCGAATTAACGATTATATCGAAAGACGTAAAAAGTAATAGACACGTTCGGATATATGCGCATCGACAAATATAATTTGCATATATCGATTGATTTTGAGCCTTAATTATCCGGCCTTTTACATGATACGATCAAAACAGTAAAAAATTTATCTGGGTACTCTAAGAACTTATATTTTTATAAACGATAGAGATATTAGATGTAATTATATTTACTTTCTTTATAGCGACTAATTCGTTTTGTATTTTGACCAGCAATGCAGTATGTTTATAATTATTCATAATTTCTAATAATCTATAAATATTCAATATATTATTTTATATATAAACAAATATACAGATATTTAATTATAGATGAACTCTTTGCAACGAAATGAATGATCGAAAAAGAATCTTAACACCGAAATCACTTATCATCACTGTCGGAGACATAAACTAGTTTATTAGCTAAAACTGTTATGAATTATGGCTATCTTCAAACAATGAGAAAGAGAGCTTATTATCTTTTGCGAAACTTTATAAACTTTTTGCGAGATGATTATTGCGATTATTGTATACAATGATTCAAACGTGTTGATAGAGAATTTTATCCTTACTACTAAATCTTTTTATCGAAACGAATTCTTCTGTTGCATATACATTTGTAAATTACGTCTATTTAAATTCGGTATATTATTTTACAGACTTGTTAAAATGACTTGTTATTTTTAGCATATATTTATAAATGCAATATAATATACGCAGGAAAGCGGACATGCATTTTGGATGATTTAAATCAAGGGTTGTATTAAATTCGTGAAGTAGAATTCAAAGTCCTGCTGTGAGTTTGCTATAATTTCCTACGTAACTAAAACGTTACTCCGGCTAAACAAGGGAAACTTCGCGAACTAACGTACACAAATTAATCCTTAAAGGTCGTTGATCCATTGATATTTTATCGTTGTATTTTAGGATAGTTTATTGCATAAACACGCATAATATTTGTTTAGACGTGAACACGAAGTTCTTCAGGATTCAACGCGATGCTAAGCTACGAATCTGACATTCGCGCTTCCGAGGATTAGTTCGATAATTTGCTTGCTTTAGGGAAAACAATTTACGTGTGCTATGTATATCTTCCTTTTTTTGGCTGCGTTCGGAAACGTCACCCGGGTATACTCCCTTCTCCTTCTAACTCGCTGAGATAGAAAGAGAAGGGAGTATACTTGTGTGCACTCGGGTGACGTTTTCGACCGCAGCCTTTGAATAACAAGTCGATCTAGTCGATCTTCCGATGTTTCGACTACTACACATTTTGTGACTCTATACACGCTTGAACGCCGCGAGAGGTAAATTATAATTTGTAATATGTATATGGTTAAGATGTATTTTATTCATAGTTTGAAAACTTTAGAATTTTTTATTTGTACACTCTGAATAAACTTTTTTTTACAAAATTTGTCCTTTACATTTCTTGTTTAATCATTTATCAAACATAAGTATTAGGAAAATATTTAATATCCTTAATATAAAAAAAATTATGGTTATATTTATTATAATAAGGCAGCATAAGTTTCTAATCTGTTAAAATCGATTCTTAGAAATTGATAAATTTATATTCTGTATTTAAAAAGGTAAATACAAAACAAGGAAAATTCAAGTAGAAATTATAAATAATTATAATTAAAATGTTGTTTATTAAAAATTATTGATTTATTTAGATTCGTATAGTATTAAAAAAAATGGAAATTTCCAAGAATTAAAAAAAAAACGCGATTCCGAGAATTTCATGAACTTTAAGTTTTAAATATTGCGGAACTCTTTGAAAATCGGCAAAGAATATAATTAGATATAATGTGAATCAAATCACAACTACAATTATTTCAATTCCAAAAGTCACATTTTTATTACTTCTTTCTTTTATTAATATCTATCATAAGCAAAGGGAACTACGATCGTACTCTCTCATAATTTTCTTATAATATTAAAGACCAATAGTACCGCTGGTATACATATAAGCATAAATATATAATTGTATATAGATATACAATTGTATATAGATATAACTATATAAAATAATTAAATAACTTTGCAGAATAATCATGTAAGTTTATGACTAGCAAATTTCACACATATGACTAGATAGGTTTTCATAAATACTGCAAGTGAGTAACTGAGATCAGCTATTTTTCTAAAATTAAAATATTGATTTCATTTAGAGATTTCGTATATAAATCTCGAAATAATTTAATAAATAAAAAAATATTAAAAATTAAAACAATTTTTTAAACAAAATTGAATAAATGCACATTTATAATTCTTATCCTATTTAATTATCACGAATGAAGGAAATATTGATACCATTTTAATGAGTAAAGAGAGAGATATCGTATGAACATACACGCTGAATTTTCATTATATTAATAATGCCAATAACACGGCATATATTGAAGAATATATTGAATTTGGAAATTTCCGCACTCAACAATCCGCTTTCACTTGAACGTATCGTACGCAATATTAAATAGCCGATCTCATTAATTTGGACGTATAGTCTCTTTGTTTAGCGGCCAAATGCAAATCCAAACTTCTCAACATTCTCGCTCGAATTTCTTGCGCGTTCGATTCCCGTTTATGAAAATCACTCGCTAGAATTCTACCTTCCGAATGCAACGGTTCGTTTCGTTGAAGATTGTCGAGTCCGATCGTATTTAACGAGGAGGATTTATTTCGTGATTCCTGCATGATGGTTTTCATGAACTCAAGGGCCATTCTCCGACAAGTATCGAAACCCAGTAATTGTATCCTTTTACTGTGAACGGCATCCATACGGTGATTTCTGCAGCGTGTTTCCCTGTCTATTATTTTAGCAAGAGAATTGGGTGTCCCGGGTAGATCTTGAAATACTTTACTAAGGATTTCTTTTGTTAAATCTTCATCACTGCCCGATGCGTCTAAAATAACAGAAATATTTTAATAAATTTGACGATTGCTAGTTTGTGATCATAAGGATTAAATATTAACTCATACGTACACGAAAGCATAAAATGTCTTGCCAAAATATTTATTTGTATTACGGTTAATTGCATTTTAGATTTGGGAGATAGAAAGAACAAAAAAAATAAATAAAGGTATTTAACAATCAAAAATTAAATTTTTAATTTGTAAATTTTTATCAAAAAATTTCTTCGCATATCTATGAGATATTATAATTTGCCTTGTCTATAAGTCGTCAAAATTTTTTGGAAAATAAAACAAGTCACATTTTATTCTATATATCACGCGTACGACACGGAAATGCCGTCATGTCGCATTGAGAGTCATGCGTGAATTTGACGAGATTGCTAAGATATCATACGAAAATGGTTTCCACCTAGTTGCACACGGATTGACGTCGTTCCATATGATTCTTATACTGCACGGAATTTAATTTCATGCAGAACTTTTCAAGATATCTGTGACAATTGATATAAGCCCTATGGATACTCCAATCTTTACTTGTTCCCATTATCAGCAATAGAGAAATAAATGTTGTTTTATAAAAATGTCATTTCATTATGACAACTAATTGTTCAAATAAGTCATTTTGACATAAAAAGTTTGTCGTAATATATTGGGCAAAGGAAACGAGCTTTGTTCAAAACTTTGTAAGGAAGGTCTGGAATGTCATCTTATTCCATTGCACAATGTTGCAAAAGTTTTTGCCGGTGATTTCGAGTGTACAAGTTACGCAATGCATGAAAGGATATAAAGTACGAGAAGAGTTTTGCATTACCTTGATCACCATTATCAGTTTCTGCGATGTATGCGCCTTCCCTGATCTCTCGTTGTAATTCTAGAACTCTGGCTAAAGCCAACTGGAGATATTCTCTTGTATTTGGATCCTGTAGAAAGATGAGATACATATACACTCGAATACTATATGGGACACATTTCTAGCCACGTTAAAAATTAGTTTTTACAATATTATTTCATTTTATCTTTAATACGTCAGATATCGATCTTTATCTACTATATAACTGATAATTTATACTTATTAAATAATTTATTAACTGCCTATAATACTTCATTAATTAATCATTTAAAATATAAAGAAAAATAAGCCTTTGCATTGTGTTAATAATCTAAAATATGTAAAATTTTTTTCTAATTTACGCATTCCGTGTGGAAATCTAACAAAAATATAGTAAGCGTATATATTGCTTTATATGTATAATACACCGGCCTCTGTCACAATTGAAAAGCTTTTGTTACAGATAAATTAATTGGCCAGAACGATCTATACTATATTATATTAAAAGATAAACTATCAAATACAATTATATTGCGATTTGATATATGTGTGTGACAAAATGAAAAAAGATTTAAAATGTTTTACAAACTTTTTTAATTGATTAAACGCAAAATATAATAAAATTCCATTATTTAAACTATTTAAAGCTTTATAAATTTCATAAAACTTCGAATATTGGTAAAATTTATATAGAAAAAATTTTACCTCATTTATCGCAAAAATGACTTCGTGATCGACAGGCGTAAAGAGAAAGAGAGAAATAGGAAACTTTAGATCATATTTGTCTCTGGTATAATAAATTGCTATATGCCTTCATGATTTTGTAAGAAGATAAATACAACTTGAAAATGAATACAATTTTTATTTCATATACTAAAATAAAATAATTTTTCAAGATGAACAATTATACTGCTTATTAAATGTAATAATTGCGAACAAAGAAGAACACAAGAAGCATTGTCTAACTTTGTTAAGTGTCTCAATAAATGCTGACAAATAGCTTCTTTATTTATTGATTTATTGATTTATTAAAACAATATTATCGATATCTATTCATATTTTTAATCAAGCTATAACTCGTACTTACAATTATATATTATTGGTAATATATATATCTATATAATCAGATAATTAATAACCTTAACTTACTGTGTATTCTTTCATTCCTTTTGTTCTTTTAACGTCATTGCCAACGTCTTCTAAACAAGGTGCCTGCGTTGAATAATGTATTAAAAAATTTTTCTTTATAACTTATAAATTTTTATAATTTTAAACATGCACATCGCTATTTCTGTCTTATTAGAAATGTACTGCACATATATATAGTAATATTATTCTGTACGCATTCTGTATTATTTTACACAAAAGTATATATCATCTTTATTCTAAAAGTATCTTACCGATGAATATCTCTTCATTATGATCTGTGACTCAGCGCTTGTCCATCTGTAATTCAATAAATTTGAGAAACTAAGAAGCCTTAGAAATTGTGTTCGTGATTAATTGTAATAAATAAATGTCTACTGAAAAACTTCGAAAATTTCATAAAACCATAATAATGTTCAACGTTATTTTTAATTAAAATATCTGTTTTGTTTTATTTATATTAAAAATTGAACATCCGACCACATTAATTTTCCTCATAATTTTGTATGATATACTATCAGTACTATAACCAACGGAAATTTAATACATGTAATAATAGCTACAGGTTGTGCATGTCGATAATGCATTGTAAACGCTATTTGAGAGATAATGTATTACTCATATCCGTATAATATCCGTTATATTCGAACATAACTGTTTTTATCCATTATAAGGTTGCATCAAATTAATCAGTTGTTCTCCGATTTTAATATCTATTACGCCAAATAATATTGAAAACAGTATATTGTATTAATTAATTGTAAGAATTAATATTACTTAAAATATTTTTTTTTAATTTTTTTAATACGTGACTTTGTAGCAGCAACCAATTTAACATGTTTCGTCAAACTTTTATGCAATAACAATATTGTACTCTTCATAAAAAAATTAACATGAAATGTGAACGCATATGGACTCGACTCGTAATAAAAGCTACAAAGTTGGTATCTGTTTGGATTATCGTCTTATTGTGTTATCGTCTGGAAGTAATGATACCTCGTGTTACTTACGCGCTTCTGCCTTCGAGTAGAAACGTGCGCTTTTACAAGTTTGTCCCTTAACTTCGTATCGGTTATCCGTCGTATCAGCTTTGTTATTTAGTGCTGCCGGAGGTATTGAGAGGTTCTCCGTGCTTGCAGGCCCACTAATTGTTCTTTCGTGCCGCGCAAAGTTTTTCCAGTAAACTCTTTTTCGTAAAAAAAAAGAAACACCTTTTTTGCGTCCTTTTTGTCACGAGAAAACGGTACCCCTGTTATTAGTTATACGCTGCGCGCTACGGTGGACTGTCAGTGGACACGACTGTTGACTAACGTCGATCCTCCCGTACTACCAACCCCCTTATTTTCACGACCGTTGTCGAATAAGGGGGGGTCACGCGAGGGAGTCTGTTTATCACCCAGCCCCCTTCGAAATCCGGCTGTTCAACCGTCGTATAAAGGTCCGAACGAACGGCAGATGCAAGACACCCCCTTTCTCCTCTCTCTCTACCCTGCGCGTGCCCCGTTAAAGGGAATGGACGACGAGTGGCACGTGCGAGTGGGTACGTTACACGCGCCGCGCCGTGCCGAGGAGTCTCGCATCGATTATTCTTATTCGACTTGGGAATGACCGAGTGATCTTTGCATGTGCACGTTCTCATAAAATTTTTTCACGCAAAAGAAAAAACATGATTATTTTATGTTGTTATATTAAATTATATATAGCGAGTTATCTTTATTAGTATACAGTTTAGCCACATGAACATAAAATATGTGAAAAACATACAAAATATCCTATAATTGGGTCCTTTTGCAAAATGTATGCGATACTTCTAAGCGAAATATTTATATATCTGAAAATATAATGGATCAGTTTTGAAATATCTTATATAATATACAATGTATATAACCATTTTAGACGTTGATGAATGTTCTTGTTACTCAGATTATTTTGCAAAATACTTATGCATTATCAACTAAGTGATCGCATTATAAATCTAATTTAAATATAAGCAAAACGACAATAAAAAGCTTGATACAGTACAGAATTTTACTGTTCTATAAGTTCACAGCATCGATTCGCATCTCTCTCTCTCTCTCTCTCTCTCTCTCTATCTCTCTCTCATGTAGTCCCATCAATATATTATAGGTACTACAAACTTTCGAGCGTAGAAGAAAATATTTTATTTAATGAGTGTACTTAGAAAATATTTATATTTATATTTGTATACATGTATAAATATATAACTAATGCTGGGTACTTATACACGTACAGTTTAATTGAGCTATCAAGATTTAAAATGAGTTTTGTTTCATGTCATCTGTTCCGTGTGTTTTTCACGCTGTTTTCACGCTTTTCTTCTCGTAAAATGTCTGCAGCAAGATCTAATTTAACTCGGCGAGCCAATTACCGCCACAAAAGAGATAATAAAACGAATAACTATCGGATCGTATCTCATTGTACTTTGTTTAATCACTTTTCTATGGCTCACTTATTTATCGCGTAATAAACGAAAGTATTCTCATTGCTCATACAATTTTATTGAATTTATTAAATAATAATTTATTTATTTATTTATTAAAAATTAATGATTCTGCGAGACTAATCCTTAATCTTTCAATTTCACAGAAAGATAAAAAATTTTGTGATTCTATTAAATAAGAGAAACATATAAAGCTTATTAACCCTGATAAGTTGCAGATTGAGCAAGAAATATGCACATACATAGGTATATCTACAATACTGCTTTACACACATTATGTTTTTTATGAAAAAGAATAAATTCATACATGCTAATATATTTCTGCAATCATTCAAAAACAGGAACACGTATAAAAAGATGAGTATTATTGGTTCTTTATTATTATTTTTTATAAATTAGGCCAAAGTAAAGAAAGATTTTATTTTGCAAATATAAGAAATTATTTTTAAACGCGTGTTACAGTCTTAACAAGTCATTACCTTCCGGTATTCTATTTGATCACATCACCAATCTTTAAAGAAAAGTTTGACGCTATAAAAAGTATATTAGTTGCTTGGCAGAAGTCTTTCGACAAAAAGAATTGCAGTTTGAGTTCGCAAATATTATTTGAAGAAGAACGTTTCAAAGATGTACAGTGTAAAGTGAAAAATTGCAACATACATGTATTCTCAAACCAATATTTTTTTAAGTAAAGAGATTACAAGCGGTCGTCCATAATCTTTGAAATGGTTATTATGGAAATATTGATTTGGATAAAAATCTCTGAGATCTGTCATTGCATTTCTTTTTATCCTTGTAATGAGAAACTTGTAGCATTAAGTATTACGGTAGATGCAACCATCCTAATGAAGCTTTTGTCCATCGACTATGGTATTTGCACTGCAATTTACATTGATATCCGCGATCTGTTTATTTATACTATGTACTTTATATTAATATTATATATTATGTATATGTATATCTATATCAAATGACTTACGAGAGCAATTCTCGATCGCCGACGGTGGGTTTACTGTTAGTCGTGTCTATGCTGGCCCTTTCAAATACCCCGGTTGAATTAAATTCTTGAGTACGTCTTCGGAAGGTGGAACCGAAACTGGTCTCGTAAAACATGCGCCGACTTCTTTGTGAAAAAGCACCGTGTTTGCGAATTGTACTACTTTCCATTCGATTTCTACCGCAGATAGCGGAGCCACCCGGTAGGCAGAAGCATAAATAATTATTAAACCTATGGCAGAAAAATAGAAGTGGAGTAGATTAAAAACACATTACCATGATATATTAAAAAATAAAATAGATTTCTGGATAGTGTGTTTATTTTTCCAAATTTATAATATATATATATTTTTTATTTAAATATATGACACTTTCATATGTTAATATAAATAAAGAAGGGTAATACTACATATATTTTATAAGCAGAAAAAAGTTATATCCTGCTAGAGAAAAAGATAAAAAATATATATGTATACAATCTTCCTGCTGAAAAGTTTGCTAAGAACTTTTGACAAGTTTTTACGAAACATTACAATGAAAAATTAATGTTCTTCTATTAACATAATAAGTTTAGTTAATGAGATTATTTCAGAATTAAAAATGGTAAGTTTTATGTGGTAAAGTAAGTTTCGCGTAATGCTACGCGACTTTGTTCCTCAACGTTTTCAATTGTTATATCAAATTTAAAAGAAGCTGATTTCTTAATAATGTATCTGTAATTATAATTAACATTTACTGATATTTGTTATTTATAAGTCAAAAAACATTGGGCAAAAACATCATATACTTACCGTCGACGAAACGTGCGGCTAATTAAGTAGAGAGCTATAGGATTGATGCAGCTATTGCTGAAACTGAGGCAAAAACCAATTATCCTGAAGACATGCCAATAATCATCATAGTCGTCACGGGCCGTGGGACAAAAGTGGAACCACAGCATAAATATGTGATACGGTAGAAAACATATCACGAAAACGATTATGAAACACACTACCATTTTGCCCACCTGTTAAATTGCAGGAATAAACGAAATCATCAGTACAATATCATCCAATAAAGAGCAATTAAATTATAAAAACTGTTTAATGGTATATACGCGCGAAGCATGAGTTTAACATTTTGAATTTTTATGAATTATATTTTCATGTACATACCCTTCTGCGCGCCTTTATTTGTTCAACGTGAAGATTACCGCAGGGAAGTTCGCCTGGGATGTTTTTGGTTGATAATGCTAGATGCCACGCCATACCCAAATAAAAACCAGCTATCACGCATAACGGTATCACGTAATATGTCAAAAATTTAAATAGTACCATCCCTTTTTCATAGGCGTCCCCTGTAATATAAAAGCACATAACGCGGTGTCTGTCTTTGCGTAACCTTAGTGTTACAAAATTTATATTTTCTCACATATTTAGTTTTAACATCGTTCAATGAATTGAGATAAAATATTATGTATATGTATATGCAATGATATGTAGGCTCAGAATATCAGATGAAGGCTCCAAATCTATAGAGGGAGCTATATTCAACATCAAAAATGACAAAAATGTGAAAGTTATTAACTAATATTTTGCCATTAATAATTTGTATCTGAAAAAGTTTGATTTTTTTTTTCTAGGAGATAAAATGACATCATAGAGATCGTTCAAAGTTTCATTATAAATTTTACAATTTACATATGCATATACATATTTCTAATAATGGTTTCGTGACATTCGGGATTATGTCCAAAAGAATTGCGTTATGGCTTACCAAATTCTTCGGGGAAAGGGTTGCAGATTAAAATGCTGTGGTTTCCACTTAATGGTATAGATGATACGTAGGAGAAGAGCGCGGCGGGCATAGCTAAGACAATCGCTAAGACCCAAATAAGGGATGCCGTTAAAATGGTAAGTGGTTTTGCGCTTAAACCCGCCATGTGGCGACGAATAGGGTTCACGATGGCGCAATATCTATGAGAACGTGAGAAGATGCGGCAATGGATTATATCATAAGCGGCAGAAGCTCGTTCACTTCAATGATAAATTACTCAAGACACAAACAAAATAATTAATATATGTATAATAATTTGCATATCTTTGATCGTCGTGCCTTATCGATTTTACGTAAATTAAACTTTCATTTAACGTAGATAAAATTTTAATATTAGAAAAGAATGTCGTGAAGGTAATTGAAATTATTTTCATGAAACATATTTAACTTTATTAAAAATTTATGGTCGATCATTAACGGTAGAATATTCAACGATATCTGCATCAATGTCCAACAGTAATGCTGCACGTCCATCGAAATGAGTTACACGGCATACGTTAATTAGCTTCAGGAGCAGACTTTACACTTGGACATATTATGAGCGAAGTTGCAGTTTAATCTTCTCTTGACTAAGAACTAAATTAAGCTACGGATATTCGTAGTGCCATCCAGCTAAGTAAAATTTTGTTTAATTTCTTGAGTTAATTTGCACGACACGATAAGGCTCTTAGTTCAGGTATTTACCTTTCGGCTGACAAAGCAGCTAAAGTAAATACCGACACGCCAATCGAAATATCTTTAGCACATTCAGATAGTTTGCAGATAGTTAAACCCCATGGCCATGATTCGATCGTGTAAAGAATCGATGTGAAAGGTACGCTAGTCACAATCACCTGTAACAATGAATTATTCCTAAATTCGATTCAGATGATATTTTGCCATCAAATAATTTATCATAAAAGATATGATAAATTATCCAGGAAGGTCAGAATGATCATAAATATACTGAGAAGACATATTATATTTTCTCTCTTGTGAGTAAAGATTATTTGAGGACAGAAACTGTTGAACATATAACAGCTATATATAATTATATTAAATATATTAAATATTAAAATATATTATAATAAATATATATATTTTTTTAATTGGTAATATTTTTTCTAGAAAAATTTATTTCTCGGAAAAGGTATGTCTTGCTTTTATCTTCGAAAAAAAAAATATTTTTATTATTCTTTTATACAATTCTCTTATATTTAAGATAAAGAATTATTTATCTCAAACAATTTTTACTCTTCTTGAACCGGAGAGAATTTCGAGAGCAAAGAAAGCGCAAGCGCAAAGCTGTGTGCTCACCAGCAGATCGCCCAGAGCTAAAGACAGCACGTACGTGTTTGGTACATTTCTCATACTGGTATGACATAGCAAAATGAGAACCAAGATACCGTTTCCTGTTACGCCCACGATCAGAATTAACGAAAATATTGCGGGTACGATGTAAGTTTCAGCTCTTTGAGAATATGGTACATAATCATCATATTCGTACTCCATTATGGAGCTTGCATTTATATTAAAAACGTCACCTGGTATCACCATCTGTAACGAAGGAAATATTCTTGTTGCTTCTGACATTGCTGATGCTCTTGATATAAAAGGAAGAAATCGGAGCGCGACTGCAGAATAAAAAAAAGGAGCAATATTGCGTTTAAATCATATATCGCATTCAAGTAAAAAGAAAACAGAATAATTATAACAAACGATTTTTACTGCGTATTGAATTAGGAGATATAATCACATTATGTTACATGCAAACATATAAAATATTGTGATAAGAAAAATTAATGCACCATTTTATCTATAATATGTGACTTGCCTTTCTTTCCTGCAATTAATCGTAAAAAAATATTCCTATGAATTAAAACACGAGACGCTATTAATAGCGTTTTATAAATATAGGTATAGCTTATCTTCCGCACCATAAATGGCAACGGAAAATTTAGATTGCACGAAACGATACAATCAGTCTGAAATACAACGTAATAAAATACATCTAGATTGAACCGACAATGATGAACACGATAAATGTTTTACAATCTCTTATCGGTTGCATGCAGTTTTTTTTCTAAAAATACGACAAATGGATTTTTTGTTGCAATTTATACCTTGTCGTGATGTTTTTTATCCCAGATGTAATCGCATATGGTTATCGCAGATAGAATGATAGAATCGATTAAAGATAAGGTCTACGTCTGCATTAGATTATATTGCGTAAATCTGTAATAGAATATAAAGACCGTATATTTTCCTGATTTTATTTCATTAAATTAAGGAAAATGTTTTAAACTAAAAAATGTTTGTGCCTTTTTATAAATAATCTTTAGAAAAAAAGAATAGAAAAATCTGACATAATGTTCACATATTAGCTCGCGCGTTTAAATATAAATCAGTATGAGCACAAAATTAATCTAATTATCAGTCTATTATATTTATAGGCCCAATTAGGCAGTCATTATATTGTTTATAAAAGGGATTAGTTTGTAGAACGGACTGGAGTTGTACATTTGTGCCATGTATGTGTACATACATATATCGTACGTGTTCATTTAGATAATGTTACATACGCTATAAAATCAACCAGCTAAATGCACATGATGCAAGAGGCTTTGAGTTTGCTTATTCAGGTTGATTGCGAATATCGTGTAAGGAGATTCATTACTTTGAAAATATGATTAGAAGTTTTAATTGTATTAGATGATTTAATTATAGGAGTTGCAAATTTATACAATACGACGACATTCACTGGAGTCCGTGAATCGCACCTCTTCCCGATTATAAATTTTCGCGTAAATAATATGAAATGAGCCTGTAATGTATTACATTACAAGAATGAAAAATACTTACAGAAAATATTGATCTTATTGTACATCGAGTATATAATCAACCGCACAAGAAAAATTTATTTTCTGATATAACTCGCAAAATTTATTTCCGATCAATGGCGGTCTTTTAATCTAAAGTTGATGTAAATTTAATAATTTAATTCGCTTCTGTTATGCCATCTGCGCGCGAAACGTTCCATTTCATTATTATATAAGTTTGTTATAAATAGTTAAACTTTAAGACACGGTTATTTGATTCTCTACACCTTAGCGTCAGTGTGTGCATAATAGAACATTCAAAATTATTCCACCTCAAATTTCAAAGTACTAAAGTTTTAAAGTGCGACATTTGCGAATCAATTTAAATGGATAATTTCGACTGATGTATGGTAGAATAATTCGATGATTATTTATTACATATTCTAGTAGCGCGCTTACACATCTCTAATTGTAGGTAGGTATCGATCTTGTTAATATATGCATACATATAAATATAAATTCACATCACTGATCAAGTTAGTTAATAAAATATACATAGATACAAGTATATTATTTATTCACTTTTCGAAAAAAATTCCTTGAATGTATGTTTATGTATTTGTGTGTATAGCATAATAATATAACCTCGTATACATTTTAATAGCTTTTAATATGCATTAAAAATCATGTTTACATCAATATGTAAAAATGTAATTAATCTTTTAAAACTCAAAATGTGTTGTATATTATCGGATATATTAATAATGCTTCAATAGGCACTCAAACTCACGATCGGATGAAGTGTAATGAAACGCAACTTTGATTTTTACGAGCGAATGACTTATAATTCTCTAAATAAATTGACTAACGCTCGAGATACAGAGAGAAAAATATTTCGGAAATTGTAATAACATCTCGTTGATAATAAAGGCTGTTGAACTATCATATCATTCCAAATTATTTGTATTTTCTAACGTAATACTGTCGAACACACGTGAAATATAAATTAGATAGCATTAAAAAGTGAAACGATCCTAGTGGAATAAATATAAAACAAACTTTTATTTTTAGATTTATATTGTTTAGTTTTTCTTAAAGGAATCTTAAAAAAAAATAACTCTTCTCTTCTTTTTGTTTAAGTAACTATGATTAAATAATAACTAACAAAATTTAAGTACTGTTGAAGAATGCAATAATAAAATATTAATTTGCGTCTATCTACTATAATGACGATAAATGTAAATTCTCATTAATCCTGATGTAGTAATATATAATAACGATCGTATCAGAGTACACGAAAATATGTGCATGCATGTATATGTTCGTGTAGTCTTATTTAAACGAGATACGCTGTTAATAAAAATATTCTCATCCCCAGCGATTAACCTTTGCCATTAAAAAAAATATTTTTTACATCTGTTTAAAACTCATAATTGATTGCACGTATTATTAAAATGTCTCTCTTAATTTTTTGTGAAACTAGCTTTCACGATGTCGTTATATTTTTTTACCTCACATCGCAGATTAAATTCCCTTAAGCTTGTATTATATAAGTTTGCGATATATCGACTAAGTTATATGTATTTTCGAAAGTTTCGAAAGTTCTAAAAGTAAACTTTATACGCGATGACAAGATCAAAGTTAAACCATTAAAATCGGCGTTGCAGATATAGGAGAGACCGGGGCTCGTTGGCACAAGAGGCAAGTTGGCAATGCGTTCCGTTTATGTATTTATAGTGAAAAAAAAAACAATTGAAAAGTTATCACAAAATATCTTTTTTATGACATAGGTACTTTTCCCAAAGTTTTATTTAAATCAAACAAGTATTACAATAGAAAAAAAGAAAACTCTGATTCAAGAGGTGTTTAAAAATACATTGTTTAAAAATATCTAGAAAACGTGTTCCATTAGCATATTGTTTAACCAATGAAGTTTAAACTTCGGACTTTTGAATTTAGGCCAAAGAATAAGACAACTACATACGACGTATTTGTCTCGTCATCTTTTATTCATTTCTTCTATTGAATTCTTCGCGTCGCAAGACCCAAGCTAATTTACTTTTAGAAGGAGATTCTCCCCGATCAATCCCCATATATATGCGGCTATTAATAAACTTCCTGCATTCTCGATAAAAATCGTGATTAAACAGTTGAACATGTACTTTTATTATTTATGAACTACTTAAATTCTGTTTAATCCGGCTGGAGCTCAGCGAGAAATATTCAGTTCGCTTATACATATCTGGCAGGCAAATTGCATGAAAGCATCTGCCGATAATAAGACTTACGATCAATTTTATGATAACTTCCTCCTCTTTGCGCCGAAACTTTAACGCTTAACACACGTATGATTATAAATAGGAAACTCTATCAAAACGCATGCTGGAAAACGTCAAACATCACTTTAGTCGGAAGCAAAGAGAGAGAACTCTGATGTTTAAAATCCGGAAAATTTAATATTAAAACTGCATCAGATTTAACGCTTTAAAAATTTTCTAGTATATTTGAAGAAGATTAATGAACATAATTTTTTAATTAGAAAAATGCATATGTATTATATAATTTTGCAAAATTATTTCTATAAACAATTTTTAAAATAAAATTTTTATTGATATTTATCTGTTAAGATTATTTTTTCAACAAATTACGCCATGCTATGATAAAATACGTTATAATTATACAAATGTAGCTAACAATAAAATATAGCTATAAATAATATATTTTAAATATTTTGATTATAATTTGACATCAGTTAACTTTTATATTCAAATTGAGGATTACGTGCGAAGCTATACATTCTATTATTGCGTGGAACAAAGTAAATTAATTACATAATTAAATAGCTTTATTATAGAAACTAGCTTCTATCCGGCGTTGCCCGTCGAGGAATCCGCATTAAAAACACATTTTACCCCTTTTCATCCGTTGGGGGTTAAATTTCCCTTATTAGTGGGTGCATACGTCATGGAATATACTCCCCGAATTTCATGTTTCTAAGTTTAAGGGTTTGGGCTGGGTGTTGATGAGTCAGTCAGTCAGTCAGGACATAGGTTTTGTTTATATATATATATTAGTTGCAATTGCTGATTGGGATTGTGATGACAGTAGATCAGTACTATGTAAAATTCATATTTCAAAAAAGTATGCAAAATGTAATATTTAACATGCATGCAATTCATATATGACGTGCAATATATTTCACCGGCACGATATACTGATTGATCAATATATTGTTATCTGCCAGAAGTAATTAATGGCGTAATGGAACGCGAAAATCAAATTTTGCTAGTTTGTTTAAATTACTGTTACGAGACTAAAGTCCGTGGCGAATTTGATTTCAATACATTCGCTGATGCGTTACGGTTACGCGATAAATATAGTGGAATTATAGCGTGAGCTATTTCGTGTTTATTAATTCTAGCAGTAACTGCGTTGAACGTGCACATGATTGCGGTTTGCACTTACGTGGTAACACGCAGTACGTCAACCTGTACACTGTCAATTGTGGGATTTCCACACTCGTCTTTAATTAGGAAAATGATTTTCGATTTATATAATTAGTTTATTCTCTCTCCTAATAAAGATAATGCGTCAAATGGAGAAAGTGCATTCTATATACAGCGCAGCTTCCGTTGACATAATCTTCGGTTACTGCTTTTATCGTGCGGAAATATTTACACCTCACTTTGATTGACGTCGTCTTGCAAACATTAATTAATTAGAATAATGCATTACGCTACGTTGTTGGACTTTTCCCAGTTTGTTTACAGGCGAGAGCTTTGCAACCATCTGTCTCTTTTTTTTTTACTTTGTCGTAAGTACAGTAAACTTTAGGCAAGTTTGGATATTATATAAGGTTTCTTATAGAATAATTTTATAAAAGATATATATAAGATAGCACAATTATAAGAGCTACATTAATAGTAAATAATGTTATTACTTATTAACTAAATTATGCAAAACAATTAAATAATTAACAATTAATTCTAAACAATAAGAAAAGATTATCCTATTTTTATTATTGTTAAAATTGTCATTTTTATGTATATATTTTAGAGTATACTACTATTGCACTTCTATTCAGAAGAACTTTTTATTAATATTTTGTTACTTATTAATATTTGGAGGGGTAAAAACCACAGTGGTGTAAGTCAAATTAAAAAAAAATTTTTTTCGTTCGCATAGATGCAATTTATATATTGTACAGATTGCATCTATGCACACGAGAAAATATAATTTGACTTACACCACTGTGGTTTTTAACCCTCCATTTATAATTTATTTTATTTTTACATTAGTTTGTTTTATTAACAATTTTACATACGAGCTTTATTTTATGTCGCATCTTTCTAACTTATCATTCTCACGTAGGTTTTGTTTAACCTAAAGATAATTGCGAATACTGTACCAATCAAGCAGTGTATATAAATGATTGTTTATAATATTTATCCGTGAATCAGATCCAATTGTAAGTGTAAACTCTTCGTAAAGCCACATCTTTCCACCAGAATTACAAAGCAATTGCGATTTCACATTAGTCGATATTGCGCCTCCACGTAAACGGTTCAGCAGTTGTTAAAGCGGATTACAGCTCTTTCTAGGTCCGTTTAATTACGTTTGTGTCAATTGACAGTGCCAATCGATAATGTATATGCTAATTAAACGTAGCAAAAGAGATTGAACTAACATACATGAGCCGTACCTACTAAGGGCGAGTTTCACCAAAGTCGATTAACTGTTTCTAAGGGGGACAATTAGAAAGAGACGAAGAGTTTCGTCTCGAGAATCGAAAGTCACAGTTAATCGACGTTGGTGAAACTGGCCCTAAGTAGATAAAGGCATACAGATTTTAGTAATTATATAGCAAAAATTCCAATATATAATATATACAATATTCATATTCCTCATAAGTATCTGCTCTAGTGTACCTTTCTTTTTTCTCATTGCACCTGTACTTTATTTAATCGTCGTCGAAAGTTTTAACATCATTATGCCATGGCGAATGTAGGCAGCTACTTGAAACCTAATGAGAAATTTCATTCGACTTCGACAGAATGACATAACTTTTCCGATTGACGGAAGACTTCGCCAAGAGGGAATTTCACGTTTATCTCTGTCTGACCTTGCTCAGTTCATGCAAATGTCACTATACAAAAGCGAAATTGAACTTTGAAGAAACACATCCACATAACTAACATATTTTATTATCTATCTTCTGCAGCTTGTGTAAATATATTTTTGCACTAAAAGAATTGTATATACTGCAGGAATAAACACATCTAATAATAAAAATGTGTTATTGTGTAAAATTAATGTTAATCTGTCATGACATTTTTATAAGAAACTTATTATTACCTATTACCTATTATCTGCTATTAAGTTCTTCAATTATGGTTTTTTTGCCCTAAAATAATTGTAAATACGATTTCAGAATAATTATTATAATTAGGAATTTAATTACAACTGTGTTAAATATATTTTATACTTATATTAAATTGCTTAGTCTAATTATTTTAATTGTTAGCTAAATCTATTAAATTACTTTAATAAAGAGTTACATGCACACACCCGTACAATATAACATAAAAAAAGTAACTTTAATCAATTAATTATACTTTTTCTTCAACACATTAAAGATATTCTTCATTGCTCTTCTGATAGCTTTGAAGTTGTATATCTCTTTGAGTAAGTGAAGTCGAAAGTAATAACGAAATATTTTCGTTTAGTTGAGGATAAACGCAATATCGCGAGGACGGCACGATTTAACGATTTGTCGCTTTTCGAAATTAATTCACTTCTCTTCCACAGCGCTCAATATTCTTGGCATAGGTATTCTCGACAACTTCAATTTCCACGGTAATTTCGTCGAATCAAACGCAATTCTCATCGATTTTGCCCCGGGAGGAATGTGTTTCGTTTACAAAGTTTAACGTAAATTCCGACGTGCCATCCAAATTCGCGTTACATCGATAGCACTGTTATCACGTGCTGCGGAAGAAAACGCATATGAAACTATAATGTCGACATTGGAACTTGATACGCATAAAATATCTGTGAATTTATGCCACAAAGTTCATGACATAGTTTATTAACATGTAACCTTTAAAGCACACATCTATAAAGGGTATAAAGAATTTATTAAAGTGAATTATTCTGGAAACAAAACGATATGAAGATGTGTATATATATATATTTATCTCTGTGTCTGTTTTAATAAAAAACTATTTTTGCAGTCAACGAGTTTGTAAAGCTGACGTAAATTCGAGATATATTTGAACGTCAGTAAATATTGAATGATGATAAATTTAAGTCAAATCCAAATATAAATAAAATGTCTGCACATATCCAGTTTAGAAAAGAATTCAATATTTTATTTGTGCCATTTTCAAAGGAAATATCTCATTTATCCACATATGGAGATAGGTATGATAGTGGGGCAAATCAGAAATCGATCATGACAATATAGGCCACGTTAAAATCGAATTGTTTGTTACTTTCATGACGCAATCAGTGCTTGCAATTTGCTATCAATATTAGCAAATGACAAAGGGCTACTTTAATTTATAGGTAATTACGACACGATCGATATTCTAATTGCGTTAGCCACAAACTTGCATTAAACATGTTACAGTTATCGAGGTTTACAATTAAAAAGATTTTATACAAGTTGTGCAATTGTACATATCTTCTTTAAAATTATAGATCAACTTTCAAGAAAAGTAGAAAGAAATCTCTGGAATATATTATAGATAATTTTAATAGCTAATCAGTTGCGTAAAGAACTACAATTATTCGATCTAAACTAATAAAATAGAGTAAATTTTAAGTTCAAAAATAACGTAATAAGAATAAAATATTATATATGTATAAGTGATATAAGTAAATAATAATAAATGTTTTGTTGACTATATCTTTATGCCTTTATGCGATGCAACGTACGTTACCAAATTTTTACACCCGGATAAATATATTATGTACAATTTTTCATCGTATTTATTGTAACGTATAAAATCTCTGCTTTACTCACATTAAATAACGATTACATCTGTTTCGAAAGGAATCACTTTAAAATTTTATTTTAAAATTAATATTTATTCTGAAATGTTGGCAAAAATAACATAAATTTCGCAGTGAGAGATATGCTTTTTATAGTTTTTTTTTTAAAAATGAGTTAGGCAGATTTTTATTAATTTTTTATTATATCTGCTACATATGGAGGGGTAAAAACCACAGTGGTGTAAATTAAATAGTTTTTAAAATTTGACTTACACCATTGCGGTTTTTACCCCTCTATATATACATATATATTCTATTTCTATTCTTTACTCATTTCTATATTTTTTACTCATTTAAACTGAGAAATGACTAATTACTTGATTTCGCAGTTTTTATTTAAATTGTTTATATCAATGTTATAGTGTGCAATTGTAGGATGCATTCTTGAGTTTACCTTTTTATCGCACAGCAGTACAGCTGTAACTTTAAAGTAGTCATTATTTTAATTATATTTTAAAAAATGCACATTCTGTATACTTTTATAGTTTATAAGTACCGTATCTTTACACTTTAAACCGTATTTTCAAATAGACTTTGGATTTCCCTATTTAAAAAATGCAAGCGTATTGTGTGTGTACTACAAAATTTATATTTGTATGCAACTTTAGTTATATAATATACAGAAGCTCAATCTTTCATTCTTCTCGTGAAATTTCGTGCAAAATTTTTCTCACGAAGCATGACGCCATTTGTAGCAGTATAAAGCTCTTGCGGATTTATCATGGATATTGCCTCTACAGAAAAGATTTCGAGATGTCGAGATGTTTCTTGATCCTTTTATAAGTTAACCACTTACTCACACAGTTTTTTTTAAATAAAAATAAATGCAATTGAGCTAATTGCATTACGTATACTTGGCGACACTTGTAGTCATTTCAATCTTCGTTATTCCATGACGTTTCAATCAATATTATTCACTCGTAATTAATTTTGCTGTATCGTAATCTGGATTAGAAGGGTCATTAACTTGTCATTAACTTTGCCTGTATCGGCTGCCTCTTACTTACTTTCTATTCAACCAAGTGCGCGGTGATCGATAGTATCCGTTTAAGAGAGTATAAAACTAGTTAATCAATCAAACTTTAATATCTTACGATAGTATATATTTTTCAAGGGAATCAGTACCTTCAAAGATCTTTCAACTTGATAAAAAGATAAAATCATGGTTAATGTCGTTTTATTTATTACAATTTTTTGTGAGTTTAATTGTCACCTGTCGACTTTATATTAATAAATCGTTCATAAGTTATAGATTGTAATAAAACTATCATTTGACAATTCCAAGTGGTCGACAAAGTATTAAACCGATAGTTATACTATTTACGTAACGATTATGAACTACGAAGTTTCGAGCGTATCTAGTTCAAATAATCACGCCTCGAAGATCAAGACTTTGACGTAAAGCGTATGACCTTTCAGAGTAGCGCATAGTAAATTGCTACACAACTATATAACAGTTCTCAGCAGCTAACATCTTTGTCACGCCGCTTTTCACCAAGACGCAATAGACGAATCCAGAATGAGCATTATGACAGGACTGAGTATACTACCGAGCTAACTTACTATTTGTCATTGTATGCATCAATTTATGTGCTGTGAATATGTATAGAGACGAAAGGATGCCTTTGAGAATTGCAATGTATCGCTTTTAGCACGTACCTATGACATATAAGTTTCTTCTTTCTATGCAGGCTACTTCTTCGACGTGTGTTAGCGAGGAATTTCACATAGCTCTATGCGAAACTGCAGCTCAAAAGGTACAACTTGCAATTTCATTCCGCGTGCCTTAAGGAGTTGAAATGACATGGAAATCCGCATGACCTAGTCCTATGATCGCACTCGGTGAACAAAGAAGCGAGTTTCGGCGGACAACGGGCTCGGGAATACGTGAGATATGTGAGTTGGTAGAGAGTTCAAAAATGATGACGCCATAGAAACGTGGATAAATGTCGAAGCAAAGGTATGTGACAATATATTGACGACGTAGCTTTTTGGATATTAGATTCGGTTCAATTGCCGATAAAATGTGTATGCTATTGATAAAAGCTACGCGCACGCTTCTCTGGTTCTGACACGTATAAAAAAAGCTAAAAGATTGGGTTTTGCATTCATCCCGTATATCCGCGATTATTTATTATTTATTCCACTATTTCCAGAATTGAGATTCTAAAAAATTAGGATTCTTAATTGTTATCGAATCGTAATCAATAAAGCTGACATTGGCATTGATGAATTGCACTGAATCCTTTCAAAACGTTTAGAATTTAATCTTATTATTCATGCTAGATATAAACTGATAACATTTGAAAACCTATTTTTGTTTGTAACAGAGATTGTGCGTGATAACGGTAAAAGTCAAAAGAATGACCGGGAGCTAACGTCAATCTCGAAATTTCGAAATATTCGGTGTAATATCCGTTTAATAACCCACACAAAATCTCAGTAACCTATGACCTATTTTTCATAGATAAAAATATCTCATTACATTTTATGACATTTTATGTGATGACGAGAGTATGACGTATGTTCATATAACACAAAGACTTCACTTTTAAAATATCATTTAATATACAATAATCGATTTTGACTAATATTTATTTTCAAGTATATAAATAATATTTTTAATTAATTCTATTACTTAAACTGGTTAATAAAAATATTGATTAAGAAATAACAATTAACAGCAAGTAGTTTTTTTTAATTTATCAATTATAAACATACTGGTTATGGTACAGGATTTTACATGTATTTATATATACATATATGTATTATTTGTAAGAATAGTATTTGATTGTTTCCGTATACATTTTTGGCTGTTTATATCAAGCGTTAAACATATACTTAAGGAAAGACAACGTTTCTCAGAGATAATCAAGATTAAGCGACCCAACTGGCCAATTTCTATTTATTCGTCTCACAACGTTTCGACCCCGATTGGGGGTCGAAACTAACATGTAAGTTCTTACGATGTACTTGCGATATGTCTCCCACTTTTTCATAATTTATATCTGACATACTTATATTGACATATTTTATTCGTTCTAGCGTGGCGTTCGCATGATGTGGTTTGGGCGCAACGTCTTGCGACGCATGATTTATTGTTGCGTAATTAAGTATAATCTCACTTGAGAAAGACCCAATCGGGGTCGAAACGTTGTGAGACGAATAAATAGAAATTGGCCAGTTAGGTCGCTTAATCTCGATTATTTTTATCTACAGACTGGCGGATCCAATAATTTATTCCATTGTTTCTCAGAGAATTGGTCTTACCGCCACTGCTGCTGACAGCTTTTTCATTATGATATTTTCGAATTGCTTCTTGCGTGCAATGCAGAAAACTCGTTCGAAATATAAAGTTAGTAGAAATGGAAATTGTAATTTGTTTTAAAAGACGAACAACACGAGTGTGCCCGAATGACCGACATATTGCACGGATCTCTGGCTACAATTTTATTCTGTTTATCGCAAGAAGTGCACGGATCCCCAATGACGTCACGTTCCATTAATCCGCAACTATATGAACACTTGTCGAAGTAATCCATGTGAAAAGGATCTCAAATTCCATATTCTATTATAAGCTTTCATTTATTGATTATCACGCGATTGGTTGTGCGATTTACAGAGATATTAAATTATACTTCGTAATATTCCTCCTATGCACAATATTTCGGAAGCCGCTCGAATTGCTGATTTAAACGTTCGTATTTTAATGTTTGAATCCGATAAGTCGTAAAAATTATTTGTTTAAAAGATACAAAAATTCATGGTTTTTTATATTATATATTGTTATTGTCAGACTCGACTTCACTGTGTTAAACGATAAACTTCCAGTTTAGTAAAAGATCTTATATAAAGCCACAAAAAGAAGATTGATGTTTAGCGTGGAAAAGTAAATGTTCGAGCAAATGCTTCAGAAGCATACGCCTTTTTCCTGTAACAACTTGCAGAATGTGATGACTGTCACATCTTCGTTTTTCTCGAAATTCCCGTTCCCTATTAACCATTATTTTACAAGAAAGTAGAACAATAAAAACGTCAAAGAAGACACGTAAGATATAGACATTAAAGCAGAAATATTCAAATGTAGCAAAAGAAACGGCTGTTGAATTCGATAAAAAATATTATCGATAAATAGATCAGTTTACAAATTGCATATAATGTTACTTAATTTTGGTTATGGCAGATTAATTTTCCAGAAGCTGGAGCGCGATAAAAAATACGCGATACAAATAAAGTGGCTACGTTTTTATTGTTCTACTTTCTTGTAAAATAATGGTTAATAGGGAACGGGAATTTCGAGAAAAACGAAGATGTGACAGTCATCACATTCTGCAAGTTGTTACAGGAAAAAGGCGTATGCTTTTGAAGCATTTGCTCGAACATTTACTTTATCCACGCTTCAAGAAGCGTGAACGAAATGAAAAAACAATTTATTTCAAATAAGTCTAAAAGAGTAACAACGACTAAAGCAGAGCGGATTGCTGGAAACGAACGCACCGCTGAAAAGCTACGGTAGTGAATTATTAAGAGAAACGGAATGAAAGCTACGTGCGTTGAACCGTGTTGTCGCTTGATGAAACGACAGAAAATCAACGTTCATTTCTTTATTATAGAACAACAGTCGTGAGACATCCATCGCCCACGTTGTCGTTATGTCAACTTAATATATATATTGTCGACTATTAATTTTGTACATGGTGCATAGGGCACGCTCGACATACGAGTAATATACTCAAGAGAATGGGATGAAATACACGTTCTTGAGTACACATATCCGACACACACTATTATATAACAGCGCATTGATATTTATTGGGTACAATACCTCGTGCAATTTGAACGTAGTAAAATATAGCAATGGTGCAGCCATTGTATATAATCCTCTACATTTAGACGAAAACACTCTCGTAATAATCTGAATAATCGTGCTTTCGCATCGTCAACAGCTGGAAATCGCACGTATTTAGTAGAGTTTTTAATAACGGATCTTCTCCATGGGACGCCAAACGATAAAAACTGAGAGTAGTAAAAGGGTAGTATTTTGCGCGTGAATCCTTTTATCTAGATTTTGTTTAATCGCTACGAGCGATATGTGTGACGCTAAGTTTAAGGCAACAGTCGAACTACTGTCCTCGTGGCAACCCTTCTTACTCCGTTTTCGTGGAATTTCTCTTGAGAACACAGTTAAGCTACTGCTAATTCTGTCATTTGATATATTTCAAAGGAGGATATATCTTGTAAAGTGCGAGTTTAGTTATTTAAACATAAACTCAAACACGAATCAACGCATCTTAGATTTTTATATAAAAGTTCTTTGAAAATATTTAAAGTAATTGATAAAGTTGCTTTGACGAACGTAAACTTGCTCGCGGAAAGATTTTCTTTCGGAAAGCAACTACGAGAAGCGGTTTCTCTCTAAAAGGCATGTTTTCTTGCCAGACACGTTTTGAAGCAACTGTTTGTTCAGCAAAATATGATATACTTCTCATGCATTTTGAAGAATATTTAGAGATTAAAGGAAACACACACAAATAACATAAAATTATTTATAATTTCTATCTTTTAAAATATTTTTATTTACTTGTTTATTCGGTTTTACTATCTTTAAAAGTTTTCAACTTTTAACAAGAGATAAAAATAGTCAAATAAGAATACTGTAATAAAATATGCATTTTTTAAATAGGTTGAGAATGTGTGACAGTATTTCTTCGATGTTCAAGAATAGCTATAGCTCGCGATCGATTAAAAGTGATTTGATTGATCAAATTAGTTATTCTAAATATAGAACAAAATACAGAAGTATTGCACATCATTCAGTTATTTTGTAATACTAATAATGTACAACGTACACACCTAGAACAAATTCAGTTAAAAATAATAAAAAAGTTTGAACGGTTAAATGGTTAAATGTTTTCTTCTCATAATTACAAAAAATATACGTAGAGTTTTTATAACACTTATACTAGCACAGTTTTTCTAACGATTACATAGCTATTTTATTCTATTTGATACTCTGGGACTTCAATTTCCTGATAAATAGAACAAAGTTATTAGAAATTTGCAAATTTTGCATGCAAATTATAAATAGTAATCTATGATAAAATTTTATTACTTGTTTTTTCAAGTAAAAGTGTTTTTAAGTAAAAGAATTATTTTTATTTCGGTTTTTAAGATAAACAGATAAAGACTTTTTAAATTATTTTAAGCTTATTTTTAATTTGTATTTCATAAATTTTTGTTAATAAAAAATGAAAGGGAGTTTCCAAGTATTTTCGCGAGTATTTTATTATCATTTATTTGTAACAATTATATATATATATTTAATTTACTTAATTTACGCTATTTAATTTATCTTTCTGATTTAATTTTACAAAGAGCGTCAAAGTGAGATACGAAGGATCAAGAGAAAAAATGAAATGAATATTTTAATATCTCATGCATACTCCATGCATATTACATTAAATCATTACAGTACATAGTAGGTACCTACATATTAAATTTGAAAAATGATGTTACGCACTTTGTACAATCTAATCATCTCTGTTCAATCTAAAAATCTATTAAATTTTCCTTCATTAAAAAATTGACGTCCGTAATAATAAGACAATGTTGCCTGACAAATAGTTAATGTAACCTAATTTCAAAAAATTAGCAAGCGAGTAGATACCTAACCAAACGAGAATGTGAAAACGCTGTTTCAAATTTCTCCTTCCAAAATCCATCTAAGATAAAATGACTTTGATCCATTCTTCACAGTATCTTTTTTCTGTTCTTTTTTCATGTCGTTGTCGCGTATTCTTTAGAACCCTTAGACAAGCATTAATGGCATTTCATGGTCGTGCTATGATGTAACTGATTCCAGAGAAAAATACTGAAAGATCAGTTGAGGATACTACACGCAAAGAAGAGTGATAAATTAATGCTGACATAGTTTCAAAATTTATGTTCCGGTATAATTAT